AATGTATTGACATAAAGACATTTCAATGAAGGCCAGTTGGCAACGCAAGCGCATGGTGTCGGCGTCGATTACCAACACATTAATTGACGCGCATGCGCGCCGCACGCACCGATTACGGCACGAATGTCACAACCTATTGTTTTAGGTGTTGACATGCCGTTCGCGAGCTCTCAATATGAGATTAGAACGATACTTTGCATATTACATTTTGTTTTAGAACATCACCCCAGATTTTGGGGTCAACGGGTGTTAATTTAATTAAAGACCAGGCTGTATGGGCATTGTTCCCTTTGCCTTCCCTAAAACGGGAGAACTTCAACAAAAAATAAAATAAAATTAGGTGTTGACATGCCGTTCGCGAGCTGTCAATATGAGATTAGAACGATACTTTGCATATTACATTTTGTTTTAGAACATCACCCCAGATTTTGGGGTCAACGGGTGTGTGTAAAAAATGTGCTTTACCATAAACAGTCTTAACAACTGCTAAGCATAGGTCTTCCAAAAAATCTCCACTAGGTTTCGCATCCATTGTAGGAATGCATCGTCAGAATAAGGATTCTTGCAAAGGATGCTAAACGTCAACATACAAATAAAATCAGTGCATCTGATCCGTTGAAACGTGTTTTATTTATTGATTATTTTTTATTTTATTTATTTGTACAACAACAAAGTTACACTTAGACATTTCTTATTTACACATTTATAGTACGACACTTTATTAGTGGAACTTTAATTATAGGCGATTACGACATGCAATTTACACTTAACTAGCAATTAAATCTTAGATATTTTTTTTATAATTACATTAATTTTAATACGAAACAATTATGAATAAACATAAAATTTTCAAATTGTCAATAATTGAACAACAACAATTAAATAAATTTATGAAAAATAAATTGATGAAAATAAATTAATGAAAAATAAATGAATGAGAAATAAATTAATGAAAAAACTATGTGGGCACAACCAAACATAAAGATTTTATTCTCTTCAGTGTATCCGCGAAGATGTCCATATCGGTGGACTTTGACAGTGAATATACTGACAGTGATAATACTGAGAGAGCATTCTATTTATAGAATAAAATAAGCCTAGGTTCGCTATAGAGCTTCTCGTCGCAAACAGATTTAATGAGTGATGTGCGTGAAAACCTAAAGAAACAAATATCTAAAGTAAATATTAATAGAATAAATCCACCATTATTCTACCACGGCCCTATAATAATGGTCAGTGCATCCACCCGGATAACGGAGGGTTCGGGTTCGAGTGCCGTCCGCTGTCTGGTCTGCATGGATTTTATAAAATTTTCATTAGATTTAAACATCTAGAAGTAAAATTCTCTAAAAATACAAATATAACAAAATACTCGAGGAGCTCGATGGCGCAGGTGACTAGCGCGTTCGGCTGCGATCGTTGAAGTTAAGCAACTTTCGCAGTGGTCGGTCATTGGATGGGTGACCAAAAATTTACTATCTCGAGCTCCTCCGTGCTTCGGAAGGCACGTTAGGCTTAACGTTGGTCCCGGCTGCATTTGCAGTCGTTAGCACCCACCAATCCGCACTGGGCCCGCGTGGTGGGTCATGGCCCAATCTCCCTATTCCATCCATAGGGAAGACCTGTGCCCCAGCAGTGGGGACATTAATAGGCTGATGATGATGATGATGAACAAAATACTAGAATATCGACCGTGCACCAGATGACGATCAGTTAGTAGACCGCTCATTAGTTGGACCGACGAACTGGTATTGGTTGCGGAGATCGATAGATATCGACGCCAAATCGATTACCTAATTGTAGAGTTACCTGGTGGGCGGTCTGGCTACTGAACGTTCCCCGCCAACGGCTAACTAGAGCCGAGGTTCGAGTCTCAGAGACGCTCTCTAGTTGAGCCGACTCCCTCAGGTTCGAGTGGTCTAGAGGCTCCAGACGGAGAGGAGACTCCCCCGTGGGGATATACCATCCGCGCCAACGGCTAACTAGAGCCGAGGTTCGAGTCTCAGAGACGCTCTCTAGTTGAGCCGACTCCCTCAGGTTCGAGAGGTCTAGAGGCTCCAGACGGAGAGTAGACTCCCCCGTGGGGAGATGCCATCCGCCTGGAACACCTCTAGAGGCACTCTCCAATTCTCGGCTTGAAGTCCCCTTAGGATCTCGCCGTCCCCAAACCCGGTGACGGTGTAAAGGTCATCTGCGACCAACAGCATTCACTTTATGCACACTCAAAAAAAATCTAAAAGTCGTCAGGTGCATGGTCGCCATTCGAGAATATTGGCACCTCAACGACCGTCGGTTCACTTCTCTTGACTAAAACACCGTGTTTTAACCAAAAATCAGGAATAATATATCTACAGTTTACATCTACCACTTACATATTTTTATTAGAGGTATTACTTATAATAATTTCCTATGCAAATGTAGCCATTTAAACCATGATAATTATTATTTAATTTAAAACAATTCAATTAATTTCTTAACTTTAATTGTACTGTGGTTTAGTAAAAATAATAGGGTGTTTTCTGAATTTTTGAAAACTGCATAGATTAAACAAAACAATTAAAGTTGATTTTATTTTTAATGGTTTTGAATTTACCGCGAAAACGGTCCTCGGTTCGAGGACGTCTACTGTGTGACGTGAACTTTGTGTATGCTATGTAATCATCTGAAGGTCAAATTATTAACTTTTTTTTACGTTTGGGATAAATTTATAGTATAATACTTACACAAAATTTTTAATGTTTCGAAACTCTTAAGCACAGAAATCAGGATTAGCAGCGAAGAAATTTGCAAAGTATTATACTATAAATTTATCCCGTACGTAAAAAAAAGTTAATAATTTGACCTTCAGATAATTACATTGGGTAGACGTCATCGGACCGAACGTTTTGGTAAATTCAAAACCATTAAAAGTAAATTCAACTTTAATCGGTCTAATGGAGAAAAAAAGACATATAATTTATTTTTATTTTTCTGTTAAATCGTTTGTCCAAATCTTTATAACATAAGCAGTTTTCAAAACTTTAAAAATACCCTATTGTTTTAATTTTTTTGTATTGTAAGTCGCTTACAGGGTTCATGTTAGATCTGAAACTAAATCTTAACGGCTTGTAATTTCCACATGAAACAATAAATATATTGAATTGAATTGAAGTGTACTGAACTGTACATCCTCCATCCAAATAAAAATGGCCTACAAAATGGTGTAACAACATCATAAAGTTGTAAACGAGTTACAAGCCATTAAAACTTTTTGTTCGGTTCATATTAACGTAAACCCATTCATTGTAAAGCTCTTCCATAATCCAATTAGTGTTGCACAAAACGGTATCGTGAGCCGATCTTTTTTATTTAACCTTATAATAAGCTCTTTAGAGTTCATTATCGAATGAACTTGGTGTGTTGCAATGAGAACGACAGGTTGCACGAATTGCGTTTACGCACATGTTAAAATTAGGGTTGTCAAAACAACAACAGTTTATAATCTGTGGTAAAAAAAAAACCTTTGGTATATAAGCTGTTGAAACTTTAAACATCATATGAAAACCAAATAATCATCTGTACATATATGTTTATAACTGACACAATAAAATACAAAACCTATTTGTGGACAATGATGCTTAATGAATTATTACTTTCATAAAAATAGAATTAAGTGAACAGGATTTATTTTAAGGCAAAAGCATAATCGCTTAAGTGGAACCTTTTTTTTTAATATCAATCCTAACAAAATAGAATTATTATCTATCCAAATAATATAGTCAATTTGAAAGTTTATACGTTTCTGACTCAATCACGCAAAAACTACTGTACGAATTGAAATGTAATTTGGTAAGCATGCAGTTTATGACCTAGATTGAGACATAAGATCCTCTTTATCCCACAAAAAGCCAGGTTACTCTTGGATTCTCAAAAACTAAAGATAACACGGACAAAGTCGCGGGCGGCTGCCAGTATTACAAAAAGCAGGATTTAAAATCTTTCTTTAGCATTAAAGGCTAAACAAGTCCTACAACTTACAACGACAGCGTGAAGTCAAACGCTGAAGCAATTTTGACCGTTAGCTCGACCATTATGCGCTAATTCGAATGAATCGAGTTATTTGAATAACTCTTTTCAATAGTTTACGTAACTACTGCTTTTAAGTGGAACGCGGCTGCTCGGACATACTTCGTTTCCTGGTGTTAACAGTCGAGTTATAGTTCAGAATTTGTTAAGGTAAACCCAGGTTAATAGATTACTTTGCGAGTGACGTTGGAATTAATTAGATTCTTTGGCTTTCACTTGTATTTATATTGAATAAACCATCTCATTCAGCAAAGTGTACCGACTAATTTGATGATAAAAGGTTACGAATAAAATGTTTTAGGTGTAAATTTTTAGCCAAGTTTTAAATACTGAAAATTGGAACGTAATAAATACGTAAAATTGTTTAACTAACCATGAAAATCGTGTACAAAATGTTGTTGCATTCTACGAAATTCCAAATTGCAGTAAAGATAGGCATTGAAATACCTGATAAAACCTGACAAAATGACAATCTTCTCTGTATTTTATTTCATTAGCTACAAACCGTATTTCCTCCTGCATCTGTCGCAACCCGAACGAAGTGTTTAATCACATTACAAACTGAAAAACTAACCAGTTTACTAATAAAAGAATTGGGATTTGGATTACAATAGAATTGTTAAGATTCAAACGCAATTACATAGTTTCCATTTAAAATCTTTCCTCTTTATTAATAAATGAGATATAAGCATAGACTAGTTTCGCCGTGCTTTGTTCATAGCAAATGCCATTTATCGTTCAATGAACAGAGACAATACATGGAGTAAGTAGTCCAAGCTTAGTCTTTGTTTATTAATAATGGGGTTTGAGTTTACGTCATTATAGTTCAAATAATACAACGCAATTGTTTAACGATCGCTGCAAAACTTGACTTCTGCTTTGTATATTCATGACACCTGTTTAAATATATCTGATTTCTATTATAAACTTCAGCCTTAAAATGTCTTCTGAGGCAGACGGAATAGGGAGTCGGTCTTCTGAGGCAGGCGGAATAGGGAGTCGCTCTTCTGAGGCAGACGGAATAGAGAGTCGGTCTTCTGAGGCAGACGGAATAGGAAGTCGATCTTCTGAGGCAGACGGAATAGAGAGTCGGTCTTCTGAGGCAGACGGAATAGGAAGTCGATCTTCTGTGGCAGACGGAATAGAGAGTCGGTCTTTTGAGGAAGACGGAATAGGGAGTCGCTCTTCTGAGGCAGACGGAATAGGAAGTCGATCTTCTGAGGTAGACGGAATAGAGAGTCGGTCTTTTGAGGAAGACGGAATAGGGAGTCGCTCTTCTGAGGCAGACGGAATAGGAAGTCGATCTTCTGAGGCAGACGGAAAAGAGAGTCAGTCTTCTGAAGCAGATGGAATAGGGAGTCGGCCTTCAGGAGTAGAGGCGCAGGCGACCTTTTAAAGACTTTAAATTCAAGTGATGTTACAAAATAGCGACTGAACTAATGAACTACTAAATAGCCGAAGCGAAAATAATTTCTTTTTAACGTAACAATAGACACTGCTCTATATTTCTTATTAGCATGCGATGTTGAAATCTGGTAGGTACGGCGCTACAATACACATCACGACGATCCGTCACTCTGTGTTTCGAATTAGTGATCGATCATCAATTATAGCTGAAGGTCAATTTTAACAAATTGCCCGATGTGTTAAGCACTGAGAGAAATCATTATATCTCGCAATTATTGTTGTCGTTATTAATTTTGACAGTACAATAGTATATAGTTTTCGTTTGATTAATATGTATGTCGTGGATGTTTAATATGTATTTCAATATAAATATACTTATAATATGTACAGTATATGTATTCTATGCGTTACCCTAGTATCCCATAACACAAGCCTTACAATGCTTACTTTGGGGCAAGGCTAATTGGTGTGAGTGTTGGAAATGTTTATTTATTAGTATTTGCAAATTGATTTTGATGAGTGAGTTTTTCTGCATTGTGATCTGTTTTTATTAGTTAAATACATGAAATCTTTTGTTCCTTACATTTTCTATTTGAAAACTATATTATATAGAAATAAAAATTATATATACATTTTATAGATCATGTATTGGTGTAAAGAATACAGCCAACCTTTTGTACCTCTGAGTCATCATCAGCAGCCTATTAATATCCCCACTGCTGGGACACAGGCCTTCCCTATGGATGGAATAGGAAGATTGGGCCATGACCTACCATGCGGGCCAAGTGCGGATTGGTGGGTGCTAACGACTGCAATTGCAGCCGGGACCAACGGCTTAACGAGCCTTCCGAAGCACTGAGAAGCTCAAGATAATAAATTTCTGGTCATCCATCCAATGACTGACCACTGCGAAAGTTGCTTAACTTCAACGATCGCAGCCTAACGCGCTAATCACTTGCGCCATCGAGATCCTGGAGTAGTCTTCCTCTGGTAATTTTAACTAATGACCAAAACCCTAGATTTTAATGATGGGGATGATGACGGGATAAAGTAAACGTTTATTTCAAAAAATAATGGACTCATTCTTGTGTCAACCAGCCAAAAAAAATTCTAATAAAAAGCGCGTCAAGGTTTGGGAGTGGGGGCTCAAGACAACATCTTCCGATTTAGTAGAAATTTGGTATAAATATAGCTTGGGAGTCCCGAGAACGGAGGTGAGAAAACTTTTTCTACAGAAATCATCCTTTTAACGGGATGAAAACGAGGGTGGAACTTTGTACGGGAAAGCAGACACTCGTACACCCGCTAGTAGTATGTATAAATAAAAGAAAAGGAGTATGGTATTAGGCTACCTAGGCAGACACCGCACCCATAGGATAAGAGTGCATTATACCAGGTATAGATACGTACCTAGGCGTTTTACCTAAACCCCCACGACAACGGCTAACTAGAGCCGAGGGCCGAGTCTCAGAGCCCTCTAGTTAAGCCGACCCCAGTGCCGTCTTTGACCTATTGCAGGCCCTGGGCATATTAAGATAATGGGGCCCCTATGACCCCCGTTTGGTGATTTAACAGGAAATAGGGAATTTGTATTTGATCTGGGGGGGCCCCCCTATCGATCGCGGGACCCTGGGCTCAATGGGAAAGACCGACCCCTTCAGGTTCGAGTGGTTTAGAGGCTCCAGACAGAGAGGAGACTCTACCCGAGGGGAGATGCTATCCGCCTGGAATACCTCTAGAGGCACTCGCCAATTGTACCAATTGCCTGGGGCAATTACACGCGGCATGCTAGACAGGTGCATACCTATTGCGGCTCCATGCTCATTACGCAATCGATGTCACGTTCGGGGACTTGTGAAACGAACACCATAATGAAACATGGTACAAGGTGCTGCATACTATAGTGATGCGAGTTGATGGTTAAATTAACGTATTGGGTGATATGTTTTTATTTTTTAAGCATTTAACTGCTACATTTTAAATCTAAAGAAAATTTTACTAGGAAAAATCCTAGTATTTTTTTTTTACAATTGCGTGATATTTTCTGTAGGTGATTCTGATCTTCCAGATGTTAAAAAACGGTCCCCCTGTATTTTGTAAAAACAAAGAATATGTTTTTGTAAATCATACTACTTTTGAGGCTTGAGAAATGTCAAAATGACTGCCGAGATAGTCGTCCATATAATGATCGACTATGATCGCCCCACATGCCTCAGGATCCTGAGATCATCATCATCAGCCTATTAATGTCCCCACTGCTGGGGCACAGGCCTTCTCTATGGATGGAATCGGGAGATTGGGCCATGACCCACCACGCGGGCCCGGTGCGGATTGGTGGGTGCTAACGACTGCAGATGCAGCCGGAAGCAACTGTTTAACGTGCCTTCCGAAACACGGAGGAGCTCGAGATAGTAAATTTTTGGTCACCCATCCAATGACCGACCACTGCGAGAGTTGCTTAACTTCATCGACCGCAGCCAAACGCGCTGACCACTTGCGCCATCGAGCTCCTCAGGATACTGGGTTTGAAATTCCTCAGCGTTCTTGTTTTTTTTTTTATTTCCAGTGCAATGAAAGGACTAGAGACAGCCCCGAATATTAACGATGACCTAATTTGATTCAATTACGTATGTACCTACGTCCTTAGTCCCTAGACACTTTTGATACGTATATTTGGTTTATCCGTAGGCTGGCAACAAATTATAATATAAACTAGCGGCCCGCCCTCGCTTCGTTTCGGTGTAGAGCTGAAGTGTATAGTGATCGGTTTAAAATTGACAAAGTTTCATACAAACTTTCATTCCCTACTTTATCCCCTTGGGGATAGAATTGATCAAAATCCTTTCTTAGCGGATGCCTACGTCATAACATCTACCTGCATGCAAAATTTCAGCCCGATCCGTCCAGTGATTTGGGCTGTGCGTTGATAGATCACTATGTCAGTCAGTCACCTTTGAGTTTTATATATATAGATAAATAGCAGGATAGCGTTGAACCTAAACAAAAGTCAATCATCCCATCACCTTTAGCGATCCGGATGTACATCACAAATTGTATAATTACAATTATTAAACTGACAAAACAGTTACAATTCAACCGCTACTTCCTGACATAAAAATTACATGTAAGTACGTACTCATACGCAATAAAAACGCATGTTTGACAGACAAGACATAATAATCAATGTGATCCGTGACCTTTAACGACTTTACTGGCTCCACTGTTTAACCCCAAGTTATATCACTTAGCATCTACTATGAACAAACAAACCTTATACAATTTTTTAGAGTAATCTATATATATAAAACTCAAAGGTGACTGACTGACATAGTGATCTATCAACGCACAGCCCAAACCACTGGACGGATCGGGCTGAAATTTGGCATGCAGGTAGATGTTATGACGTAGGCATCCGCTAAGAAAGGATTTTGATCAATTCTACCTCCAAGGGGATAAAATAGGGAATGAAAGTTTGTATAAAACTTTGTCAATTTTAAACCGATCGGGCTGAGACTTTGCATGCGGGTATAAGAAGAATCATAGATGAATGTCATTGTGTGTAATACAAGCTTGAAGACAAAAACTGTAGTCTACACTTCAGCTCTACACCGAAGCGAAGCGAGGGCGGGCCGCTAGTACTTAAATATGACTAAAGAATGTTATACAATATGGTGTTAAAATGTCACCAAGGGAAGGCCAGTCCAATGTCGATTGTCAAAGGTGTTTGTTAAATACACAATGATTTAGTTGTGTAGAGAGCAAGTCTTGCCAGGGGTCCCCATTTTACAGGAAATCTCCTGTCTTTCTGAAATTTGTCCTGTTCTGTTTTTCTACATGAATCTACTATTTTTCTTAGAATACTAATTTCTTATTTAAGTTTTAATGTCGAGTTACGTTTTCCGCTATTAAGAATGTAGGTTACCTTAACTATAATAAAATAAATATGTTATTGTCAACAAATTAAAACGAGTTTAAAAACTGTTTTGTCTTGTAACTCTTTCCATACATCTACTGTTTTTTTCTATAACGCCTCCCGATTTTAAAAATCTGAACTGCCACCACTGGTAGGGAGGGTTTTATTAAGGCTACGTACATTTATTATTCTAAACTACATAGAAACATTGCTTTATTACCCATTGTCATTGATATAAAGCTCATTTTGTTAATTGTTGTAATGTATTCAAAGTATTATAAAAGCGACTATTGTTTAATTATACAGCTTACAGCGATTTTTTGTGATATTTTTTTTTTTGACGAGGTCATGTTTTGTATTAAATACAAATAAGTGGACAAACGTTTCCAAAAATTTTGTATTGAGACTTGCTTTTATTTATGGCGCTTTAATATTTTCCGTATTCAAAACAAAATTAAATTTTATGTGCACTTAAAAACTAAATTAAATTGTTATACATATGGCTTCAAATAAATATTTTTTATGCGTTCTTCCTTGCAAATCAAACAATTGTACTAAATCACCTATGTTATACCCGACGGGCATCAATGATTGCCCATAAATTTTTATATTTGAATAACCTTTACGCTTATCTTGATTCGACCGTTGGCCATTCATTCGATTAATTAATCGTTATTAAAGCGATTGTTAGATGGAACAAGTACAATACAACGGTGCGTTCATCCGTAAACCTGCCAGTTTATGAAACACACTTTTTTATTCAACATTAAATATTATGTACTTTATTAAATCGTGTGGCAACGAGTAGCTGGACCCCTAAAGAATAAAAATTGTTAAGAAAAATAATTTTTAAAGTGTCTGTCGTGCAGTCTACAGTTAAGAAAAAAACTATATTATAAACCTCAATATCATTATTGAAGACCTGTCCATAGATACCCCACATGTATGGGTTTGATGAAACAAAATTTTGAGTTTCGGTTGAAATATGGGGAACCCCCAAAATTTATTGGTTTGTTTTCTATTTTTGTGTGAAAATCTTAATACGGTTCACAGAATACTTACAAAGTTCCAACAGGATAGTTCTTATAATTGAGTAAGACAATGTGAAAAGTGGCTGTGACATACGGACGGACAGACAAACATGACGAATTCATAAGGGTTCCGTTTTTTGCCATTTGGCTACAGAACCCTAAAAATTATGCGGTTGCCAATAGATAATTATTAAATGTTTAATTATAAGTTATGATAATTTAAATACTGTAAATCACCATTTGCTGGAAATACTTTCGCTGTTATAAATATCTTTTCTCCAATGTTTTATCGTAAATAGTAAAGGGTAATTTTTTTTAATTATAAAAGGACTAGCAAACCAGTGAACCAAATGTTCACCAAAACCTGATTTAAAAAAAAATGTATTTAATTAATTGAGAACTTCGGAGATTTTGCGTGGTTTCGTTTGAAATTCGTGATTTCTCGAAAACCGGAAGTGCTACGTTACTCAAATCCGGTTTGTAGTCTTATCAGACTATTCTTAACTTATAACTTAAATATTCTCTCTATCTATCTATTGCGGGTTTGGCCGCTGAAACAGCACCACGGACAGACGGACTTGTCTAAAGATAAGAGATTATACGCAAAGACCGCATTAAAAAAATATGACATGGAAATTTTGGTTGACCTAAAAGGTACATAATTTAGGTACTGAAATCTACAAGTCTACAGGAGACATACAAAAGCTTAAGTAATTTGTTAAGACCTAACAATACAACTTACGTCTCAAGTATAGCATTAAGTTGTCAGCTTAGTCATGACTTAATATAGACTGCATATAGAAATGATCTCAAGATTTCTAAATAGAACTGGTCATTAGAATCAATCATGAAGATATTTGTGTGACAACAATGATTAGTAGAATCGGCGGGTATGGCCGCTACTTGAAATGTAATTAAATATATATTTTACTAAATGGAACTTAAGCAACTTTCGCAGTGGTCGGTCATTGGATGGGTGACCAAAAATCTTCTATCTCGAGTTCCTCCGTGCTTCGGAAGGCACGCTAAGCCGTTGTTACCGGCTGCATCTGTAGTCGTTAGCACCCGCCAATCCGCGCCCACGTGGTGGGTCATGGCCCAATCTCCCTACTCCATCCATAGGGAAGGACTGTGTCCCAGCAGTGGGGATATTAATAGGCTGATGATGATTAAATGAAACAAGTTTTTAACGGTAAATTGAGTTTATAATAACAGTACATTTGACGGTTCGCCATTAATAAAATTCTTTTATACAATGCTTTTGGACGGTTCGCCATCCTTTTCAGGATGCGTCGTCAGAAACGTAATTTTTATTCAAAACTTGTTTTATTTAATGTGTGGCGTGCGTAAAAACTTAAGACACAAATATATATATATATGTATTTTTAAAGGAATTAATTTTATGATTTGATAATGTAAAACACAATATTCTTGACACTGTTACGATAAAGCGTTTTGAAGGTATAATCTAAAGAAAATATTACTAGAATCGCAGGATTCAGACTGAATGGACGGAGTGATTTTTTTTTCTAGTATATTTTCTTTAGATTTAAACATCTAGAACTTAGTGTACTTTGTATCTAGAACACGCCAAGCTCAGAATTTACAGCTGACGTACACCAGTCACTAGGAACCAGAAATATTATAATCTAGGCTTGGCTCTTAAACTTGTTGCCACTTATAGTGAAGACTTAGCAAAAATTGCACTTTTCTTGATCTTAAAGCTTACAGCTGATTGACGACCTCCTTGGCTGAGTGGTTTGAACGCCGGGTTTCATGGTGTCGCCGACTCGAGAGGTCCCGGGTTCAAATCCCGGTGGGGGCAGATGTTTGTGTGATGAATACGAGCATTTGTACTCCAGTCATGGATGTTTAATATGTATTTCTATATAAATATACTTATATATGTACTGTATATGTATTCTATCCGCTACCCTAGTATCCCATAACACAAGTCTTGCAGTGCTTACTTTGGGGCTAGGCTAATTGGTGTGTGTTGGATTTTTTTTTATAGCTAAAAAAGTCTATTTTCAGACTATATGATCTTATCATCATCGTCAGCCTATTAATGTCCCCACTGCTAGGGCACAGGCCTTCCTTATGGATGGAATAGGGAGATCGGGCCATGACCCACCACGAGGGCCCAGTGCGGATTGGTGGGTGCTAACGACTGCAGATGCAGATATGCCTTCCGAAACACGGAGGAACTCGAGATAGTAAATTTTTGGTCACCCATCCAATGACCGACCACTGCGAAAGTTGCTTAACTTCAACGATCGCAGCCGAACGCGCTAACCACCTGCGCCATCGAGTTCCTCCTTGTTATCTTATAATCGATCCAATTCCCAGCACTCAAGTATCAGTTTCCTTCACCTGGGAATGCAGATTGATGCAATTAGATCTGTGTGTGTCGCGCAAGGTGGTAAACTGGTTGAAGTTAGAAAGGACATATCGAGGTCACACATGTGACTGACGAGGGACCGGTAAGCCGTACATTATTAGAAATAACTGGTCTCTTATTAGATTTAATTGAAGCAAAACCTTTATTATATTTTGTATTGAAATCTCGGACATGAAACGACTTTAATTCTTTCTACACCTGTTGTCATACCAACACGCTACTGTTTTCTTTTTTTGTTGAAGTTCTCCCGTTTTAGGGAAGGCAAAGGGAACAATGCCCATACAGCTTGGTCTATAATTAAATTAATCTTCTTTTTGTTTTTACATTAGAATGTCGGTGTGACGCATTCTAATGTTTCTTAGGGTGTTTGGCACGAAATATATCGAGTTAGTGTTCTCGATAAGCTTCTGTGAGGTAGTCAACACTACAATAAAGTTCTCACGTCCACTTGACCGGAATAGCATATATTTTAGATTCGACTAATTCTTCAATTGCGAAAATAGTTGTAACAAAATCACACCAATTTCATTTTACAATATCCACTATGAACGAATTTATGAATAATTATAAGAAGACGCCAACCGCACTCGATGAAATCCCGCCAAAAACTCCAACGCTACTGAACTATAAAAGTGTTGCCAACCGTACGATTAAAATCGTATGTAATCGAAATTGTATGCAAAATATACGATCTTTTAAAATTTTACACCCATCATCAAAGCGAAGGAAAAATTGTCAAATTATTCATACATAATCGGAAAAGTTATAATTTCAATCAACTGAAATCGAGAATTAATTGTTGACATCAGAGCTTACATAACTAAGGTAGTTAAGAGGACAACTTATATCTTTATACGAATTCGAGATTTTAAATCTGTATCTACGGAAATGACATCTGATCACGGTTTCATCTGAGTTTTAGAATATACCTATGTAACTTTTCTCATATTTAAAAATATATAAATTCTGAATGCTTAATGTTGAGTCATATTCCCTAAATGATAAATATTGATTCAAAATTATAATATTAATCCGTTTTAAAATAATTTACTTTGGTTTTATTGAAATTTCATTACGTACTATTTTTTTCCTTGAAATGTATGGCAAAATATGATCTTTTCTACTATATGGTACGATATTCTGAAAATGAAAGTTGGCAACACTGCTTTGAAAGTAAGTACGTTTTTGACTAAGTTTTTGACCTGTTTTTTTACTTTCTAAGTAGATAGCTTTTCGGTTAATACATAAAAACTGCGATAAAATCATGATAGTATAGTAGACAATATCATTATAAACGAACTACCGAACGAAGAGGTCGAATCCCGGTGGGGGCAGATGTTTGTGTGATGAATACGAGCATTTGTACTCCAGTCATGGATGTTTAATATGTATTTCTATAGACATATACTTATATATTTACAATATATTATGTATTCTATCCGTTACCCTTGTATTCCATAACACAAGCCTTACAGTGCTTACTTTGGGGCTAGGCTAATTGATGCGAGTATTGAATTTTTTTTTTATTTATTTATATGGCCACTTGTATTACGGTGCCAGGGTCCTTATAAAAAATACAGTTACATGTACATTTATTGGATTAATATCAATATTTTAATGTTTCCAAATATTGTGAAAGTAAATCACAATAACACATAACGTGCAAACGAATGACAAAAAAGTTGTTACCCAATATTTTGTAGATCCAATATTATATACATACTAGCTGACCCAGCGAACTTCGTACCGCCATAAAAATAGGGACTAATGTAAGTTAGGTGAAAATTTAGGATTGTATGTATTTTTTAATCAT